CGATATGTCAGTCATTTTTGTCTCGCACGTTTACGATTTGTTTCAAGGGGGATACTCACTCGTTGACCCATTGGCTCCGCACCAGTCGCAAAGTGATGGACGATTTACCTGTCAACCACGGCAGATCAGTGTCAACCTTTCTCGACAGTGGAAGCTATCCCTCTCGCTGTCCAGGCGAGAGCATCGCGAAATCTTAGAAATCTTCACTGGCAAAAAAGCGGAAAAACATACCGCATCCACCATCGCCGCAAATTGTAATGGAGATTTTGGTTGGCTCGTCTTCCATTGTGTCTTGCATTGTATGCTGAAATAGATGCTGAATTTTTAGTGTCAGTAGAGAAGATTACGATTATTGCGTGATATTATCAAGGATTCTGAGAAAAGGCTGTCCGGGCGCTGAGCAAAAAGAGGAGGTAGGTAGGTAGAATCGCAATCTCTATGGATTGATGATTGAACGAGAAAATCTGGGTGAATATTCGCATTGGAGCTTCTTCTGTTGCAATATGCCCAAGAAGAGACCAGGACCTCGACTCCTGTGACCATCGATCAAAAGGAGAGACGCCGCCAGAGACGGCGCGACGCCTAAGTTCCCCTTTCGGTGTTTGATGCCCATCTGCAATTTCCACTTATCTTATCAGGGATCATACATAGGATATTTCTATATAGGACTTAAGTATGGGGAGAATATTGCTGTCGCATACGAGTAGTCTACTCAATAAGATGACATGGATGATCTGGGGATGTTCTGATAGTACATGTCTACTTCCACTAGCAGTAAGGTCGAGATGGGTAGATACAGAGGACAGAGAAGCCTGTAGTAAAGCCTCAATCAATGATCAAGCTCTTCCCAAGTATTACATCCTCTCGTCGTTTTCCGTTTGGAATATTATCTAGATACATGATCTGTTGCCTCCATGAGCCCCTTTTGCCTCCGCAACTGACCTGTCACACCCAAGTTCGATACGTCAAGTTGATCAATTGAGTTCGGTGTCTCCGTCTCTCTGCTCATTGGCAGTCTGCAGTTATTCTATTCTGTTCACAGAAACAGAATGAATCCTCATACTGCCTTAACATATGTTCTCGGCCCTCAGTCTTATTCGATGAAAACTACGGAATCTACATCCGTCCATCCAGCGCCGAGCATTTTTGTCTGGACGGTCGCTTCATCACTTCATCTCTTGGATATCTTATAGGTACTCCGCATATCTTTCCTCTGCTCCTCCTCTGTTCTGTGCGGTTACTATTGTATAGCCAATTCTCCTGTTGCGACCTTCAAGGTGAGCCTTTTTTCAATTCCCTTGGATGATTCTTGTTATTATTCATGACCCTCTTCTGAGTCGGACTCCGCTTTGCTTCTTTTAGTGCACAAAGGAACTAATCTACTCCCAGATTCCCACCAAGTCCATGGTTGCACCTCCAGTCTGTACATCGTCTATAAATCCCGACTTTCTGCAGCTTGATTCAGACAGAACTTCTGGATCCGCTTACAGGGCTACCAATCATTGGCCCCTGGAGGAATGTCTACTATCGTGGACTAGTTGTCGAGGCATCGTCGCTGTGTAGATGCGATCCGCTCATTGGCCAGAACATCCCATCGAATCGATCGAACGTCGCCTTACGTCTTGAGATGGCCAACAACTTCAATAATGGCGACTACTACGGCGACATTCCATTCCCGATGGCTTCCTCGACCTCGGGTAGCCACTCCAGCACCTCTCATCCCGCCCTTGACTCTAGCAACGCTGAGATGATGATGCCATTTGCGCCTTTGGATCCACTCCCAATGGGGGACTTCGCTTTCTCCGAATCTCCTGGATCAGGTATGCTGTTGAGCAGCATGTCAGCCGACGAGTTGCTCCCTTCTACTTCGCCCCCTCTGCCCGCGGCCCCTGCGCCGTTGGCTGACCATCTGTCCAATGCATTATTCGGGTATGACCCGCTCTCTGGCATGAGGAACTCCCTGCCCATGGCTTTGGACTCAGCAAGTGCATTTGCCTACGGCCCCTCTTCCGTATACCAACAGCCCGCCTTGATGTTCGAACAGACATTCAATGGGCAGCCGATGCATCAGCTTCCTTCGTTTCAGAACCAGACCCTGAACCTAGGCTCAACTGCATCCTACTCTGCTACCTTGCAAGCGCACCCACCGAGCAGAAACTCTTACTGGACATCCTCGGTTGATGCGAAAGAAACCACCAGCATGGCCCAAGCCACGTCCATGACCAGCAGATCAACCAACGCTTCGAAATCGACCGATTCTTCACGAAGCCAGCAGTTACCGCACAGGCGACGCCAGCATCGTCAAGCCGCTACCGCACAGGTTTCTTCTCACCGTTACATTCAGCCGAAGAGGCCATCGCCTATGAAAAGTGCATCTTCTTTTTACTGTGTTACGTGTCGTGCATGAACAGAATGTAGACTGACATGGGATTTCACAGCTTCGATCAAGTCGGCGACCGCAGGTGAGATCACTCCTTATACCAGCATATATTCGAGCAGCGGCATTGACATGATGAGTATACTGGTAAGTTCATTCCGGCTTGCCATCGACGGCTTGAATGCTACCATTTGTACGATCTAACTTCAGCCAGGCCGAGGTTGTCTCAAGACCCGACCCCAAGATCGACATCGGCGCTGTTGATTTGTCATGTGCATTTGCATTGTGCGACATCCAGCAGGAGGATCATCCTATCATTTATGTATCGGAGGCTTTTGTGCGGCTGACCGGTTACACTGAGGAGGAGATTGTGGGCCAGAATTGCCGTTTTCTTCAGGACCCCAGTGGTGTGGTTCAGCAGGGCATGCCCCGGAAGTTCGTCGATCAACGTACAGCATTTCGATTGCGGTCTACAATAGAGCACCGTGGAGAAATCCAGGCCACCATCATTAACTACAGAAAGGGGGGTCAGCCGTTCATGAATCTGATCACAATGATTCCCGTTCGTTGGAATTCGCCTGATTACCGATTCTATGTCGGGTTCCAAGTCGATCTTGTGGAGAGGCCCGATGCCGTCACAAGCAGAAATCCAAGTATGATTCAGATGCTCTCGTCGCACCCGATGACCCAGACTGACCAAATGTGACAGATGGTACTTACATGATCAACTACCAGCGCAAGCAGCTGCCTAATTACGTGGCGCCGCCCTCGGACATCTATCGGATGCATCCGGCCTTTGCCACACACTTTAGTGCCGACCAGGTCTCGACGATACTGGACAACTTGGACACTTCTGACCAGAGCTACCAGCAGTATCTGGACCGCGTTCTAGTCGAGAACACCGATGATGTCATTCATGTACTCTCTTTCGACGGTGAATTGCTGTATCTATCTCCATCTTGTAGAAACGTCCTCGAGTACGATCCAAATGAGTTGATAGGCAAGACGCTATCGACAATCTGCCATCCCAGTGATATCGGTCCTGTCATACGCGATCTCCGATCCTGCACCAACTCTGACCCGGTCAGTGTCATGTACCGAGTCCGGACAAAGTATAGCGGGTACATGTGGTTTGAAAGTCACGGCTCGTGGCACATTGGCGACCGCGGCCGGCAATATATGGTGATGACCGGCCGGGCCTGCCCCGTCTATCACCTAGACCAGCTCGCAAACATTGGCGATGGCGGGTTAGCCGAGAACGATCTGTGGGCCAAGCTCTCGATCTCCGGCATCATTCTCTTCATGTCCTCGAAGGCTCGGCCAGTGCTCGGCCGAGTGCCCGATGATCTGGTCGGTAAAGGCATTCAGGACCTGGTCCCAGCCGACGCCCGGCTGGATGCAAAACAGGCTTTGGAGGCGGCTCGGACTGGGCAGCAGACGAGCTTTAACCATAAAATACGGCACAAGAAGGGTCATATGTTGCAGGCTCAAACCACCTTGTACCCTGGAGACACCAAGGAAGGGGAGAAACCTTCATTCTTGGTGGCGCAGCTGCGTTTCTCCAAATCACCGCAGACTGCTCTCGGGACGGATGAGCAGGTTGTACCTGCAAATATCACCGCTACACTTTCCGGGGACACTGGAGTGACTGGAAGAAGAAACGTCACTGCGGCAGGCCAACCGACTTCCGACAAGTCGGCACTGATGGGTTCCAACCCACTGCCATCCGGTGATCAATACGTGCCGGCTCTTGATGAACCAATACTTTTCGCCGAGTTGAACACAGCACGAGGGTCGAGCTGGCAATTTGAGCTCCGCGAACTGGAGAAACAGAACCGCGCCCTGTCCGACGAGGTCCAGCGCCTCCTTGCGCGGAGGAAGAAGCGCAAGAGAAAGCAGAGCATTGTTCCCGTCGAAAAGACCTGCGCCATGTGTCAGACCCGGACCACGCCCGAATGGCGTAGAGGGCCCAGTGGCAACCGCGATCTTTGCAACAGCTGTGGGCTGCGATGGGCCAAGCAGGTCCGCAATGCGGTACAGAAAAAAGTCCCAGCCACTTAGGCTTACTTCTCACTACGACTCGTTGTTGTCTCATGCGATTTAGTATACGATCCTCGGTTGCAAGCGTTCTGTCTGGTTTGCTTTTCTTGATTTTCGTGCGGTATCTTAGAAGCGGATGGTTTTTCAACAAATGGATGGGGGGTTTTCTTTCACCAAGCATGGGCGTCCATGGGCCATATATAACGACTACACTATATGATTGGATTAGCTGGGTTTGGGCACGAAGTGAGATGAACTCTTAATAATGATATGAATTATGATGAGTGTATAGTACGATATACGTGTTTTCGGGCCGAACCGGCTGGAGGAAATAGAAGTAGCTGAAAAGTTATGACATTTCAAGGGCAACGCCAGCCCACAACCACCTATGTTATCGGATACTTATTGTCCATGGAATACAATCAAGCCATGAGAACGATGGGCCTTGGGCCTGTCATTCGATCCGTGATCTTCTCAAGTAATCACGGATTGCTAAGATATCTTTCGGTTCTAGTTCATATCATGGGCCAGAGATCGTCTATCCCAAGTAATCTACATGAATAAATAAATACACTTGTAGGCCTTAAGCCCTTTCCAACCATCGGTGCAACCACCGTCTCTCCTCCCTCTCTGCCTCCCAACTCTCCTTGCCGTCCGCAACGCCCACACCCCCTCGCTCCTCGACCGCAATGCTGACCTCCGCCGCCTCCATGGCCGGGACCCCTCCCCCCTGCCGGATCAGCTCATCATCCAGCGCCAGGTACTCCACATACCGCCGCAGTCGCGGCCGATACAACCAGGACACCAGCGCCGGGGGCCGGGTATGCGTCCGCACCAGCCCCAACGCCGCACACGCCTGCAGAATCTCCTGGGCCGAGGCCTTCTCGACCCAGCTGGCATGTGCAAACTCGCGGGCCAACAGCTCGAGCTCGGCGTCCGAGCCGGCCGTGGGGCCCGTAACGGAGCCTCGCGACTGCGCCTCGTGGGCGGCGAGGGCGGCGCGTTTCCGGGCCGCGCGCTGCAGCCGGGCCTTCTTGATCTGCTGCGGGACGCGGCAGGTGAAGGGGGTGACGGCGTTGCCCAGGACCAGGACGGCGAGCGGAGTCAACTCGCCGCAGACGATCAGGATGAGACTGAAGGGGATCATGCGGCGGACGTCGTAGGCGGCGCGGCGGACAAGCTGGAAGTTGGCGCGGCTGAGGCGTTGGGAGTGCACGGCTGTGCGGAAAGGGGTGGTCTTGCTGTCGGTGCTGGAGGTGGAGGGTGCTGGGGGAGGCGAGGTGGGAAGGTAGGCGGGTAGACCCAGCGAGCGGCGGAGGGGGAGCGAGGCGCGGTAGTTGTGGTAGACGTTTTTGAGGCCTGTCTTGTAGAAGGACAGGTACGCGCGGCCCAGCGCGACGTAGCGTTTCAGCTTGTCGGCCGGTCCGGCCGACGCGGACACTGGCTCTGGAAGGTTGAGGTCTGCTGGCCGGGTGCTCGGCGGAGGGTTGACATCGTCGGCGAGAGAAGTGGTCGCCGTTGAGGAGGTGGACGGGACAATTGGGGAGGCCGGCTGGGCACACGATGGGGAGCGCGTATGTGATTTCGGAGATGATGATGGGCTGGCGTAGCCGCGAGTCAAAAGGCTATAGCAATTGCGAATGGCGGCAGGTTGATAGCGGAGGTGCTGATGCTGAACCAGGGATGATGCCATGGCGGTGATGGCTGGGCAATTGCCCCGCAAACGCAGGGCTGTGCGAGTCGAAGAGGTCGATGGCATCGTTAAAGATCTTAGATTAGAGACATTTTGACAAGATTGAGGAACGAAGCGGCGAAGCGTTGGCGTGAGATGGTGACGGTCCGAATGTTGACACATGGAAGGAGTTGGGTGCCTCAGGCAGAGTATAATTCAGGCACCACGGCTGCAAGGCCTCAATCATCACGTCGACAATAATTCTCTAGGCTACGAACATGCCATGACTTTAAAATTATTGCAAAATTCCCTACCGCTGCGGATAAGGATGTACTATCAGCTATGTCTCTCATTCTGGTCATCAACACGTGGAGATCATTCTGAGATATCGAGGTGGACTTCATGCTGTCTTATACAAGAGACTTGCTTCAAAGGTCAATTTCAACGGCAATAACGCTCTCTGAGACGAATCCGGTCACAAACAACCATGCCTTCTTTCCCTCCCCAGGTTTTGTTTCGCTGGGAACCAAGAGCGCGGTGCTAGCAGTCCGAATGAGAGTGCCATCATCCTCGAAAACAACACGCGACTCCCATTCTGTGGATTTCTCTCCATCCTCACTCGTGCCTGGTTTGGGCCGCACGTACCATACAATGGCTCCATCTTTAGCGTTGGGATCAGCGTGATGTTTAGACAGATCAATAGGCCGTGCCATTCCCGCCAGAACGTAACCGCTGGCATCGTCTGCAGCAGTACGATACGGGTCTGAGTAGTAAGTGGGATTGTCAATTTGGCCACCCGCACGAATCTCATCGAAGATAGATATCGTGCGGTTGCCACTGTTCGGACGAGCGCGATACAGAGTCCCGCCCAAGCAACTGACGATGAGCATTTCGTCCTTAGATCCACCATGACCAAGTCCATTATTGTTGTGTAACCCGGTCAAAGCCACTGAGGCGTCGATACCTTTGCCCGCGTCCTTGGACTTTAGATCTTGGATCTGTACCTGGATGATGCTCGACCACTTGGCTGCCGGGATAATATCCTCAATCAGGCGTTTGTATCCCTCGCGATAGTAATGATCATTGGTCACGTAGAAAGAATTCGGACTCTCCGCATATATGTCGTTGGGTGTAGCGATCAGCGGGTGATGAATGGAGCGAACATGCTCAATGGTGCTTGATTCCAAAACATGGTGGAAGAGCTCGACTTGAGATCGCGCCTGGGGAACATCTTTGCCGTCCTGTATAAACTCTGGATTCGGCAGATGATTCACAGCAAAGATATAGACAGCATTGGGATTCTCCGGGTCCTGGATGACGTCGATTCCGTGCGTCACGAACGGGCCTGAGAAGTTCTCAAATGCGAGCCTTGTTGACTTCATTGTCTAACCAACAGGTCAACAAGATAGCCCAAGCCAGTAGGACAGGAAGAAAGCAGTACCTTGGGATCAATGACATGAATTGAGCCGGTAGATGTGACAGCGGGCTGCTCCAGGTTGGCCAACGGAGGGAACCACTTGAAGCGTGGCAAGACCGAATCCTCACATGCTGTAAATATTTTATTCGTAGGCTGCCAGTAATGCAGATCTTCGCATTGCATCGTATCGGCAATCTTGTGGTAACCCTGTCCTTCAACAATCACCAGAGGCGCCGGATGCCGGAAGACCCCCAAGATGGTGAGCTGCCGATACACAGGGCCATACAGAGTCGCAGCCAAGACGGCAAGAAGAGCAAGATGAACGAAGCCAGCCATGGTGTCACGACACGGTCTCGTCGTCGCCTTCCTCCGTACTGGTTTGCCTGTTGGTTTGGGTGACTTTGGTCTAGGAGAGGGCGAGATATTTTGCTATAAACTTGCGTCTGCTTTTCCTCCCATTTCATGCAACAGGAGGACGCGAAGAGACAAAGGAAGGAGGAGAAAAGAAAGCATAGGCTGAGAATGTGACTATGTGATAGCTCCGCCTGTTCTCACTGTGGAAGGGGCCGAAGGGCGGGGAAGGAATGCAGCAGTACGGAGTATCTAGAATTCTAGATGGTGAATGGTCCCATGTAGTAAGTGCTAACAACGGTGGCACTTGGAGAGCTCCATCAATTGTGGGCTTTCGATTGGTCAGTCAGCCATTCATGGAGCAACAGCTCTTCGGAGAGTGGAGAAGAAACTGAAGATCCTCGATGGAGCTTTGGCATACGGCCTGTGCACCTCGGACAATAATGTTGAATTGCCGAACAGAACCGAGCGCAGCTTTCCCTCACCACTATTCTCTCACTCTTGTATCTAGGGTTCGTCGCACAATACCGGTGTCGAAGAAAGGAAGTTCCATGGCTACAACAATTTGGGCGATAGTTGGAGAAATGATCTTGTTAAAAAATGATCTTGTTAAAAAACTGAGCACAGATAAACACATCAAGTGAGAAGAGTACCCCCAGTTGTCCCATTCCGTTCATTCTTCGAATAGCCATTTTGAAATAGTCAAATTCCCAAAAATGTTGCAGCACCGCCTCATCGTATGTGATTCTTGACAATTATAGTGAAGAGAGATGAGAAGCCTGATCCATGCATCCTTCGCCGTCCCCTCTCATTACGCCCATGTGGTGGAGTTTAAAAACAAGGGCCTCGCTCGGCAGACCAAAGCATGCAGGTACTGACTCTAGACCTGAGATTGGGCTTCCAGATAGTCTTGGTCGCTGGAATCCAGAACATCGTACTCTTCATCGGTCAGGAACCCGGTCTCGGTGTTGGCATCATCCAAGGTTAAACTCTCCACGTCCTCAAGGACATCTTGCTCAGATGGATTGGACACGGAAGGGGCAGTCAAAGGAGCTGCAACCATCGCCTGGTGGGTGCTCCCGACCGGTGACTCCTTGTCCAGGGTAGGGAAGATCATTTGACTTCCCGTGCGTTCAGTGTCATCGGCCGGAGCCGCCTCTGCCTGTTGCTCGGGTTCGCGAGAGGCTTCCTGTACAGGCTCCAGCTTGGTGGACGTGGCCATGTCGTCGCGCACCTGAATATCGCACCAGAGTCTATGACCGAAGGGCATGCCGTTGGTGAGCTTCAAGCGCCAATACGAGATGGCAGTACCGACCCGGCTCGGGGCCTTCAGAGTCACCGTGAAGTCGGCGCTTTGGCCAGGCTCCAAGGGTTCGAGGAGCTGGTTGCTCTCCATAGCGGCGGAGACTGCATCGAGACTCATGGGGCGATTGGTATCCACATTGAACATCGAATCACCGCCCACAAAGCGCACACTACTTCCAGCGGGCCATGCAAGTGGTCCAGGATTGTAGAGTGTCCATGTCTGCTGGAATACCTTATTCGGTGGCATGACGGTGCCGTCATGGACAGTGTCACGTGTAAAGTAAGCGAGATAGCTGGAAGCCGGATCTGTAGTTGGCATCTCATACACCTTGGATTGCGCCTTTTCGGCCGCTGTTGGAGATGGCTCCGCGATTTCCTTTTGCTTCACAGCTGCTTCTTCCACGCTGCTTGGCGCCTCTGAAGACGTCTCGGCTTCCGCTGGAATATTGGCTTGTGCGGAGGTAGATCTCTTGACTTGGTCACCTGCAAGGATGACGGGCCCACCGAGCCCGTTCTCAGTCACGGAGTTGCTGATAGTAACGCCGCGCACTGGTGTCTTGAGCATCAGCAATGGGTGGGTGCGATTATGGGGGTTGGTTGGTAGGGCTTCGCATTTGGCGCAGAAATCAGTATCGTGGCACACAGAGCACTTGAACCGGACTCCAGTGATGTAGCGGGGGAACGGCCTGTCTTTGCACAATGGTCCATCGCAGTAGATGCCATAGTGAACCTCATGATGCTGTAGTGGCTCCGAGATGGCCTCATAAAGGGGTGCAAAGCGATGGCCTGGGTGGCTTTGCGCGGCGCTGCCAACGCACTCCGAGCAATAGTCCCAGTCGGGGCAGGTCAGACATTTGTGGCGAACACCAATGATGCGCTGAGAGTATATATTAGCCTGCGATGAAACCTCAATTCAACAGCGGGTTAATCATACCGTTTCACAACCGTCACAGATCGCTGCATGCTGGTGATGGCGGCCAGGGCTGCAACGCGACTGCACGAGACTCTTCAGGCAGAAGTCTTGGTCGTGGAGGAGTGAGAAACGATGAGCCGGATGATGGCCGTGCGCGTCTTTCAGAAGGCAGGTCACGCAAAGGTCATAGTCTTCGCAGTCAGCGCATGTGACCATCTTGGTCTCATCGAAATCTGCCGAGAGTGAGCAACAACGGAAACCTCGTGTGACAATAGGTAACTCACCCTTGAGACAAGCGTTGCAGATCCGCTCCACCGGTTGAAGTGGGTACTTTTCAGCTGTAGCTGGAGTAGGCTCTGGGACTTTCTCGGGAGCGAGTTCAGGCAGAGTTTCAGACCCCGTCTTAGGCTCTCTCGGTTTCTCAACCTTGCGAGGAGCCACTCGTTCAGTAGTGCTGTTAGTGACAATGCCATCCTCGACAATACGCTTGATCAGCCAGTGATCTTCAGACTGACACGAGACCCCCGAGTTTACGCATTGAGAGCATAGATCGAAATCTCCGTCTTCACAAAGGCTGCAATGGTAGTGTTCGTTGGGAATAGAACGTCCGCAGTTGTTGCAGTCAATACAGAATACCCCAGTTGGGGACCTGTGCGAGACGATGGGTACATCGACGTTATCTGTGTTTAGGACAAAGTCTCGATAGCAAGGCTGAGCGGGTGCGACGTTATCTTTTGTCCACTGAACAGATTGGGGCCCAACTGAAGCGGGTTTCTCGAGGGCACCTAAAAGGTCAGGCACCGATTCAGAAGTGCCAGGCGGAACTACTTCGGCCCCAACGACAGGTGGGGGAGAACTCAGGACAGTCTCCAGGTAGCTGTATCTTGCTGGGCCCTGTTCCTCCGGAGCACTCTCGGCAGGAGAGGGCTGCGAAACAGGCTCATTCACCTCATCGACCAATGTCGCTTTGATGCGCAGCTTCAATTTAGCTTTAGCAGCACGGTAGAGTTGCTTGTAAACTGCGAGGTTCTCGCTGTCTAAGCGGACGTAGCAACCAGCGCTGTCCGAGTAGCGTTCAAATATGACGTTGCTATCCGCTGGGACGCCAATGAGTTGACGGAGCTAGAGCACGCGAGCTCGTTAGCATCATACAAAACCAAAATAGGATAGTAATTCCTTTCAGCGTATTCTCAAGATATATCAAGTGCAGCATTTAAGACAAGAATTCACGGCTGAACAGGATAGGGAGCTTGCTAGCCGCGGTCGGCAGAAACTCTAGTGTGGTTGATGGGGGAGAGGTTCATGCTCCGACCGGAGCTAGCTAGGGTGGAGACCATCTACATACCTTCTGGGGAAGAACCCGAGCACCCAGTTCTCTCAAAGGAACCTTGAAGCGTCGAGTACTGTCATTATAGAGAACTTTGATAGTGATTAGGGTTGCAGGTCCGACTGGAGCCGGCGGAATGGGGGTAGCCATGGTGTAGATAGAGTGACGAAGGTGACGGTGAACTAGAGATAAGGCACTAGTCACCTACGTAAGAGATGAGCAGGGATCGAAGGAAGAAGGTTGTGAGAAGCAATATGATGAAAGAAAAGGTTGAGAAATTGATGAGGATGATGAAAAATACAATGGATGAAGTCAGATATGATGTACTAAATAGATAAAAGAGGTAGGGGAAGAGGGAGGAGAGGAGAGAGACAGAGAGAGAGAGCGAGCGAGACAGAGCTAGGTAATAAAGTGAGGTAAAGGTAAGGTATGGCAGAAGGCTGCCTGGGGGGCTACGTAACAACCTAAGAGGTCGACTAGAGTCTAGAGATGCGGAGGAGGAAGGTCATCTGCTGCTCCCGCATTCGGCTTTCCCTGGGGGGGGGGGGCAAGGAGACTTTACCTTACAAGTTACAATAGTTCAATGGAGAATGAGGCGGTGAAGCTCACATCGTTATCCTTATCATTATTATTATTGGTACTATCCCTACCTTATTCCCTTAGGTACTTCGCATACTTGCAGGTAACACCGTCAGATCCCATTGGTATTATTCTTATTATTGTCATCATCGTCGTCATCATTACTGTATATTTATCCTTGGCTACTTATTCCCCTCTCCTGGGTTTACAGGTTGAATTAATCCTTTGTCTTTTAAGGGTAACGCGTGATGCTCATTTGACGATATCGACGTGCTCCTGTAGTATGTATATACGACCCCATCCCATCTCGCCAATTCTTTAGATTAGTCATAATCTTTGTTCATCGCATCGGATCCTTCCTACAGCCAAACAAGACGAGAAGAAGCTGGATCGCAAAGGTTGTTTTCCTTCATATTTGAACTTATAGCCCACGCCACAGTGTAAACACCATTCCTAAATGCTAGAGCGCAGCGAACGGCGGAACAAACCACGGACAACAATGTAGATAGAAGACAAGAGCGGAATTATCGAGAGACCCATCAGGTCAACAGGGTGTCAACAGGGTGGAAACAAGGTGGAAACAGGTAAATATTTGAAGATTTCCAGGGTCCGCCTTTCAAAAAGAATAAGGAGAAAAAGAAAAACGTCACGTTCCACGAAGAAAGGAGGGGACAGCACCGGGAACGGGGAAATCAATGCCACATTGCTTTCAAGATAATAAGCAGGGAAAATGCGTACAGAACATGAGAGCTTCCGGCCACAAAAAATTGGCACCGCAATGATGAGAAGACAGTCGCTAAGGATGCAAAAGGTGGCTTATCTAATAACAATCCATATGAAAGCTCAAGGAAACAGCATCACGGAGAGTTTCATCAGACAGGAAGCATGAAGATGGCACAGTAAAATGAAACGAGGAGATGAAAACAACGGTTGACAATGGACGAGACTCCTATAGTCGACATCAGAAGTTTTGGGAATTATCGATTGCGTGGCATCACAGTGAGACTAAAGCGCAGGACGAGAAATGTGTGGAAGGGAAAATGTAAAACAAAGGCAGAAGGGGATAACGAACACGATAAGGTACGAATATTTTAAGGTATCGAAATGTGACGGAAGCAAGAACGTCGAAAATGCCTCTTTTTTTTTTTTATTGCGGAGCGTAGTATACACCACCCTGCGGCTGCGGATAATAGTAGGTTGTGCCTGGAGGAGTCATCATTCCACCCATGCCGATGACGCCACCAGGCCCCGGTGCAGATGGCGTGGCATAGGATGCGTTAGGCCACATCTGCGTGGCGTCGTAGAAATAAACTGTGCCACCGGCCTCATGGGCAACTGTGCCTGGTTGCGAAGACTGCTCTGCGGAGGCGGCGTGGGCTCCTGGAACCACATATGGAGTTTGCTGCCCCGGTGGGGGATAGGGCACTAGGGAGGCTCCCGGCATGCCGGCTGCGTTGTACTGCGGGAATTCTGTTCCAGAAACTGGATAGTATACTGTACTGGGGGGATAAGCGGTAGGATAAAACGGCTGGGCTTGTTGGAAGCCGTATGGTTGGAAAGGCTGAGCATGGATTGCTCGCTCGGGTATGTGAGATGAAGGCGTCCCGGTTGCATGGGCAGATTGAGCATCGGCGCCATAGCCGGGGCCATTGATAGGCATAGGGACCTGGTGTTGGAATGGTTGTTCCTGCTGTGGCTGGGGGGCGTTGAAGGAGAAGCTTGCAGGAGTCTCTATGTCGGCGACAGAAACCGCTTTCTGAGGACGAGGCTGATGCATTGGGATAGGAGCCGGGCGGCTCTCGCGGTACGAGGGTTGCTGGGGCTGAGGTTGAGGCATAGGTTGTGGCAGTGACGCGGTAACAACGGCTCCGGGACCAGCAGCAGTGGCTGCGGGTGGCACGCCGCCTAATGGCCTGGAAGGCGGAGGCAGACGAACGATTGGCTTCCCATTTTCGGTCGTAACCACCGTATGCCTGGACAATACAGATGCAGTCGGCGAGGGATATCCATCCTGTGAGGCTGGCTTGCCCATCGACGATCTCCGGCTAGCAGTGACGCTTGGGGTGTAGACGGAGCCTGCATAAATACTCGGACGGCGTCCGCCATAGAATCCACCTCGGCCCCTGCCACGGTAACCCTGCTGATTGGGCCTCAGCGCTCGTGGAATAAAGATGAACGAGCGCTCTGTCGAGGGGAATATGTATCTCGGAGACTGTCCAGGGAACGATATGCGAACGGGCTTGTCTCGACGTAACGGGGGACGATGTTGAGGGAGACGAGTGTGTTGCTTCTTTGGAACGGCAGGGAAAGGTATCGGCCGAGCCATGCCCTGCAGAAATACTACGACAGGCACATTGCCGATCAGGGTGGTGCTCGAGAAAGACCTATTCGGGGGCGTAGAACGAGGAGCCGTAGGGACAGGTTTTGGAGCAAAATTCGACATGGATCCTGGTACAGCAGAGGGCTTGTTGACGGGTTCATCTCCTGCGACCATCTCGTGCAGATCATGTGCCCACTGCCCTTCACTAGCATCAGGTTTGGAGTGCCTTGCGAGTGGAACGATGGTTAGCTATCGGGAGCACATGACAAAGAGTTGAGGGAGGCTTACCTGCGAACATTGCCATCCACGATGAGGCCATAGGGTCTCGATTTTGATTTGTTGAACGGCCTGTGGCCATTCGAGCCAGACTCGGTGGAGCGCTTATCGTGAAGGAAAAAGCGTCCTCGAGTGGGCACGAAGGCCGGATTCTCATCTCGCTCCTTTGCATACCTTTCGTGTTCGCGGCGTTTTCGCTCCGCAAAAGTCCCTCTCTTCGCTTCTGTGGGAGGTGCAGATGGTGTCCTTCCTGTCAGTGAAGCAGACTCCCCCTTCATATCATCAAAGTGGATTTCCGCCACTTCACTCGTGTGATCAGACAGCGTCAATCCGTTCATCATGGCCTCAGTGTCTGACACAGCAGTAGCCGTGTGTCGTTTGGCAGGAGATGAGGAATGGCGTCGTCCAGACCGCTGGTTGATTTCAGGCACAAGGCCGTTCACTTGAGGTCCGTTGGTTCTGTCCAGGTGCGGGGACGAAGAAGCCTCCACGTCGCTCTCGTCGCTTCCCTCGCCATCAGCATCATCATCATCATCACCGGGATGACTGATGACCGAGCCCTCGCTTAACGAATCATCTTCCAATCCTCCATCTAGGGAACCTTCATCCTCGCCTTCCTCATCTCTTCTTCTCCTCCGCCGGCTAGCCCCGATGTTGCGACGACGTGAGGCCATTTTCGGTTGGCGTAAAAGATGGAAAGGAGGGATATAATTGAAGACCGGATGCGATTTTCCTTTGAGTCACGGTGATTTTTCGGAAGGAGGACTGAGGTAAGGATGAAGGATGCACCGACCAGGAACGAAGAGCGGCGAGATGATCGGATTGCAAGGACCGGGGGGCGGGAACGATCAACAGAAGCGGCAAAAACTCGAACACGTGTATGGAGAGGGGGGAGTGAACGTAGAAAGGTCGATGGGCGGATTAGAGGAAGATGCACCTCGATAACGAGGGCGAGGATTGTGGGACGGTTGGGCAGTCGAGGGAAATGCAAACAAGACAAGCACTATCAAAGTTGATCGCTGTTAGCATGAGCCATGACATCTCTCTTCGATGTCAACTATCCAAATCTGGTTAGTGCCCCCAAAACCACCTCAGCGAATCTAGAATTACTAGCATAGATCCGATACATAGCCTTCGACGGTTAGACTGGTTAGGCATTAGGCATAAGAATAGCTAATCACATTAGGTATGGCGATCAGATAAAGTCAGCATTATTAGTTATCCGTAGTTGATGAAGAAATTCTATATTACAGTCAGGGTTGAATGTTTACAAGAAGAGCTAGCTAATAATGTAAGCTAATGGATGGATTCTAGCTCAAAAAGTGGTCATAGCTTGTTTATGCCTGTCGTCCAGTTTGAATGTTAGGTACTAAGTAAATACGCTCATGCTAACAGCAGTATGGGTGTCTGGTATAGCCCAGTACATTATTCTGTTCAGGATCAACCTAGGCAATATTTACTACAATAATGACAATTCTTCTAAATGACTCGCAAAGAAAAATTGGTTGAAATTCAGTCACTACTTGAATGAAAAGCTTCAGTATAGCATATGAGAAGAAGCCATTCTGCCGCCGGTTCTATATTGACAAGTCTCAATCAAAAGTGATTTTCTTTCCTTGGGGTTCGACAATAGCACCGCTAAGTTTCTGCACGGTTTCTTTGGCGTATCTTGAGTATTCAGGCTTGTTGTTTCGCTTGGGCTTTCCAGAATGTGACCGTTGTGGCCTGTCTCCAGTCGACTCCTGCTCAACAGGCCCATCTTCCACCTCAGTAATGACGGAATCATCTTTCTTCTTGCCATCCCCATCTTTACCAAACCGCTTCTTGTACCGTGTCGTGGCATCCTCTGCGAACTCCATGCGCATTCGTCGACCAAGGAGCTGGTTCACCCAAACCCTCCTCTGTCTGTGTTTCTTCGATTTCCTGCTTTTTGCGGACTCTTCTTCTCCGGAGCCCTCATCATCTTCCTCGTCTTCGTCAACCATAACAAAGCCCTTCACCGCTGCTTCAGCGGCAGCAAGATCCTCGAACTCCACCCAAGCATAGCCCTTGCATTTTCCACTATCCTGAAAAGTTGCCACATGTACGTGTGTGACGGTACCGCATTGTCCAAAATGTTCCTCGATGACTTCTTTTGTAGCATCGAAGCCGAGATTGCCAACAAATATCCGTTTCGAAGGAGGTTTTGTAGCAGTTGCCGCGGAATCCTGTTCTGACTTTTTTGGTCTTCCGTCAAAACTCTTTGCATCCTTGATCAGCACACGGCGCCCAGCTAGAAGTTGCTCGCTCAACCCTACTGCCTCCTGCACAGCCTTCTCGTTGGCAAGATCGATGTAAGCGAAGCCCTTGTTCTGAGCCTTTCCAAATTTTTCCTGACCCTTCGGCAGATGTATACGGGAGATTGTAGTATCCGCAAACGTGCAATTGCTGGTGAGAAACTTGCGCAGATCATCTTTGGTCACCGAAAAGGCCAGGTTTCCAATCCAGATGCCGTAGTCTGAACGCTTTTTGGGCTCTTCGTCTTCTTGCTTTTCGCTGGGCACAGCGCCCTCTTGCTTCGTTGTAGAATCTGCCGTAGGTTCCACAACCTTCTTTTTGGCTTTACGCAGAGCCTTTTTCGACGGAGGCTCAGGAGCGGACACATCGATTTCAATTTCAGGAACGTCTGTCAGCTTTCGCTTTTTTTGACTACCTTCACCGAGGCCAGCCATGTCGAATTGAAATCAGGTTCGTCAATGACGCTATAATCGTTCTAAAAGAGTGGTCCACTGCAATTAATAGAATAATGAGATCGGGAAATAGCAATTCACAATAGAAACCTGTTTTGACTGCTCAAGTGAGTCAAGCGCATTCAGGTATTGTCTTTGGTATGAATGGAGAGGAATGAAACTTTTTACGGCGGGCAAAAACACCCGCCGACGCAACAATCTTTCCATTGCGGCCGTCGGACTTGGCGACAGGTGACCAGCCATCAACACCATCGCTCGCCTTTAGAGCTCTCTTTTAACACTCGCCATTTCCTCATCAATCACTAATCTCTTGTCCGTGTCGCTGCCTCGAATACGCCTCTCCGCATCAATTTTCGATTCGACATGTCACAGGAAAACGTGGATTCCCGCTCCGTGGCCGAGAGTCTGCCCGACGAATCGACCAGTGCCCCTGCGAAACAGTCATATCGTTCTTTCAAGTAGGTTGTTCAGTGCGCAGCTTTAGCCATGGATATGAGAACTAATATGGCTACCCCCGGGTGCTATAGAAAGAAGTATGCCAAACTTAAAGTCAAATTCGAGCTTGGGATGAAGGAGAGCGAGTCTCTGATCCGCGAAGAGTTGCGCATCGAAGACCTCTCAAAGAGAATCCAGGAGCAGAACGAGTAAGCGAAGATCTGCGGATGTATAGAAAGAGACAGGCTCGTTCGAGGACTGACTTTCCTGCCACAGCCAACTTCTAGAGGTTCTCCTTGAATTTAACGAAAGTTTGCACGTCCCAGCGAATCAGCGATTTGATCTCAGTGCCCCGGGAGATTCATCCTTCCTGCCGACGCCTGAACGGTCGCCCATGTACGTTGATACTGCAACGGCCAAATCCATCTTGAAAGATGCCAAAGCACAGATGGCTGCTGGCAGCATGACCCTCGAAGCGTATCGCACTCTGGAAGACGATATCAAACGAGGCAACGCATTTGCACCACCTCTGCATTACACTGCCCTCAAAAAGGTACCCCATACGGCGGTGCCGCCCATAAGACAAGATTCTTCTACGGATATCAGTCTGGAGGAGAAGCTCGGATATCTCACTCCGGAACACGAGACCGAGTACTACTTGAGTATGGATGCGAAGCTCGGCGACGAAGCAGCCGCTCTTGAGCTTAGTCGCATTCCCGAAAAGCCATCATTCTCTGAACGAGAAAGGGAATTAGCGCTGCGAAACCCTGTCTCCGTTTACAACTGGCTCCGGCGCAATCAACCGCATATTTTCCTACAGGACCATGAGAACGCCTCCGAGAAGTCAGGCTCTCGACCAACTAATGTGCGGGCGTCCAAAAGAGCAACCCAGCCACGCAAAGAGGAGGAGGCTTATGACGAGGACGGCGTCCTAATGGATACTGGTCCCACTCCGGGTAGCACCAAAGGCAAGCGCAAGCGCGATGACGATACAGGCTATAGACCCAAGGGTGGCAGCAGCCGTCCCAGCAAGAAAAAGAAGGACGACACGAACTCAAATACCAAACGCACATCAAAAAGGTCGTCAGGTGTAGGTGCCTGAAGACCTGGTTTCTCTGCTCCAAGCATTGATTTCCCTCCATGTACTATTATACTTCTGGTTTCTCCTTCTGACATCCCGACTTATCCGGGGTTCCTAGAGCATCCTTCGTGCTGTGTGCCGCAGAGGAAGTTGCCTACCGAGGACTGCCAGTACTGCGCTTTATTTCTTATGTTGATCCGGTTTGACCGACATGGCAGTCTCTCGCAGAAAGTGTCGAAATTTGACAAACTCGAGGTGTGCGTCATCGTTCGGCCATACTACCCTACTTCTTTCATTGCTTCTTATCATTCTCTTTTAAATTTATTTTCATTTTTATTTTTATTTTTCCTCATAAATGTTGACTGGCGAGGGTATGATATGACCATAAATGGAAAGGCCTAATTTAATTCATGAGTAACTACAATAAAAATCCACCGGGGCAACTACACAGATTTTTTATTTCCCTCTTCTCTTGATATGAAAGTATGCCAAATTTATATGGATTTCTGTCTCAATTACTTCAATGACATACTCTGTTCGTACATAAGTTCTGATTTCTAGCTGGATATATTCACGTGCTCTTGGAATCCAGTTTGTCCTGTTTGCTCTTGAACAATTCGATTGCGGAATCTTCTGCTCTTGAAGCTCAAACATAATCTCCAAAGCCAACCTCAGCTCATTACTCATTTCTCTATTAGTCGGAGAAATAATACCTTTGACAGTTTCTTCGCCTGGAAATGGCCATCACTATTCTTCCTCCCGTTGTGGAGGATGCCAATTATCCCCATCCAGATTCAGACTCCGATTCAATGTCGATAGATTCAGACGGAGGAGTTGATTTGACTTCAAGAGGAGGCTCTCGACCCAGCAAACGGCCCCGCTTAGTGGAAGGAACAAAGATTGGCGCAGGAATTGTGACACCAGGTGAAGTTGTGACGGATGATCCACAATGGATGAGGTTGGTCTTTCCGACCTTCGGGCGCCGATATTTTGCCCATCTTCAGATTCCTTCCACAGGAGGTTCAGGATTGTTACTGACCAATTCGCAGAGGCCACGGTACCTACTCAAATCCGCTCTCGACTTCGATTATTGCCACTGTTGCTGGTACCGTACAGAAAACGAACAAACTGCTCTCCGTTCAGCCGCTGCGGGCCCGGTATATCCCAGAAATCGGTGATCTGGTTGTTGGACGGATTGTGGAGGTTCAGTCACGACGATGGAAGGTCGATATCGCCGCCCCTCTCCTCGCACAGCTACCCCTCTCTGCCATCAATCTTCCGGGCGGTATCTTGCGTAGGCGGACAAGCGCGGATGAACTGCAGATTCGAACCTTTTTCAGTGAAGGGGATTTGGTGGTTGCAGAGGTTCAGAGCGTGCATTCAGACGGCTCAGCATCATTGCACACGCGATCACTGAAATACGGCAAGCTCAGAAACGGCGTGTTCCTCGCTGTTGCGGGAACCGGTGGTAGCGGAGCATCGAGTTCGACAGTGAAGGGAGGTCCTGGAGCAGGAACTGCTTCTGCAGGGGCGATGGGCACTTCAGGCACGGGTGGTGTGGTTCGCGCCCGGAGACAACAGTGGACGGTCAACACAGCGAACGGAGGCGGTGAGGTGAACATTATACTTGGGGTAAATGGTTACATCTGGATCTCGAAACACGCCGACGGCGCGGCCGCAGCATCCTCTACGACGGAGAATGTATCCATCACCCGTATGGAGGAGATGGTATCGAGTTCTATCTATTCCAGCCAGAACGACGAGATCCCACCGCAGACACGGCGCGAGATTGCACGCCTGGCGCAATGTATTCGCGTGCTGGTCCAAGGTGGAGTACGTGTGGACGAGGAAACCGTCATGAGAGCATACGATGCCAGTTTACAGGTCGATCTTGAAGTTGGTGACGATGAGGATGAGGACGAGCGGAGAAGAGAAGGAAGGGAGTATCTCGAGGGTGCTAAAGCTTCGGGGATCCTAGCTTTGGCGATGGAAGCACGATGAGGAGGATAATAGTGCTTTCCAGGAGCACAGGAAAGCATACATGATAGATACCCTTTCATGAATATATCCGCATATTACGATTACCTATTCGCAACCTTCAGCCAGGGGGGGGGTCATAGCATAGGTTCAGCAACCAAGAAACACAATCCACTATTGGATAGCCATAGGCAGCGACAGCCTGCAGGATACCATCCATACCAATCTGGCCTGAAATGATCATCACCCGACATCTATTTACTCAGTGTACGTACCAGGGAGAAAAGAACCTCTTTAAACAAGCTCCGTCAATCGATAAGCGACCCCGCATCACGTGGCGATAAGACCCTCGGCGATTGGCAAAAGAAAAGGAAAATATAAAAAGAAAAGAAAGAGACTTGCAGAGAGCGTACAGAAACTCTGCAGTAGTGCTTGAGGTTGAGGAAATAAAGAAGAATAAGGATTCATTATTGGTGGAATATTAAATAGTTCAGTTCATGTGAAAGAGCATCGAGGGGTAAGGTAAACTAGACTATCAGGGGACGAACCCTGCTGACAGGGCGCAAGCACAGGCTCTCTGTTACGTATTATTGTTCTTCCACGGCGTCCGGTTAAAAAGAGAGAGGTTTGCCATTGACGTCTTCATCGTCTTTTCATCCTTTTTCATCGTAGGCATCAACTGAGCCTTCAAACAGATCCTTCTCGACCGTTATTCTGCCTCAGGGTTCTTTTTCCAGTCTTATCATGTCCATCGTCTTTGTGAAAACATTCTTTCTGCCAACTCTCTCCATACCCTAGTATTGAGATATTCACTTTCCCAGTGATTATTGCGAACCTTATCCTTAACGATCCTTGATCATCTATCTATACGAGCTCTCAATCATCCTTATCTCTTTTCTATCTCTCCTTCTACGAATCTCTCAAAATGCCTGACCTACGCCGTCAGATCTTTGAGAGCGGCAAGACCATGTCCCGCAAGGCCGCTTCTCGCGAAGGCTCTCGCCGTCCCTCTCGCGCAGCCTCTGCTCAAAGTTCGAAACAGTCGTCTCGCAACGCCAGCAGACCCCCATCCGATGAAGAGGATGAAGGTAATCTCAGCGACGACACTGCATATAGGTGAGTTTATTTTCCTCGCGTTTCTCTCCTATATTCTTTTTTTTTTGGCAGGAGTCCTCGACGGGCGGGATGACGTAATTGTTGTTCATGACAGTCTAAGTATAACTAACCGTGCTTGGGTCTTCACAGTCTCGGTTCCCTGGATGACCTGGCTGACATCCCAGATGTTGATACAAACGCCAACTGGCCCGAAGAGCTTGAGGATGTCGTTGAAGATATCCTAGATCGCAAACGGAGCAGCGTCCTGGCCCGAGAAGAAGCCTACGCTGCCTTTTGCCGTCTCGCGAAATCTCATTACATCGAAGATCGTATCCGCACCCGTGTCATTGACCTTGTGAGCGCTTTTGCCAAGAGTATCAAGTTTGAAAGCAGCGTGCGAGAGACAACTCTGGCGCTTCGCGCTTTGAGTCTTCTTACCATCACTGCCTTTGACAACACCATCTACGAAAATGTGGAGCCGCTGCTCACCCGCACGATCCGCGACTCGACCTCACCTGTGATCAAAGCTGCCGCAATCCATTGCCTGGGGGTATGTACCAGCTTTGGTGGTGCTGGCGAAGATAGCATTCTCGACCAGATGACATTTTTCCTGGACATTATTGCCTCCGATGGCCACTCAATCGAAGCCGCTGACGATACGGCCACTGTCACGGCCGCTCTGCAAGAATGGGGCTACCTCGCGACAGAAATCGAGGACCTGGAGGCTGAAAGCGAAGAGGCGGTCCAGATCTTCATGGATCAGCTTAATAGCAATGACCCGGCCCGGCAGATTGCCGCTGGCGAGAATATCGCCCTGCTGTACGAAAAGAGCTACACACCGCAAGAGGACGACGACGACGACGAAGACGAGGAAGTTGAACCGGACGAGGAGTCCTTTATGGATGCCGGGGACCGCAACGGGCCAAAGCTCGTCAAACGCTACAATGCGTACCATAACACCCACGAGTTGGAACAACAACTCCAGTCCTTGGCCACCGTGCACAACAAGCACATCAGCAAGCGGGATAAGAAGAGCCTGCACAGCAATTTTGCCTCCATCTTGACGACCGTGGAGAATCCCCGGCGCGGCCCCATGTACAACAAGGCGATCGACCAGGATTCGAATCGACATTACGGGAGCAAGGTCCGCGTGAAGATTGGAAGGGAAGGGGTCATGAGCATTGATCGTTGGTGGAAGTGGATTCGACTCAACTCTCTTCGACGAGTTCTCCAGGGAGGATTCGCGGTACACTACTTTGAGGGCAACCGCGCCGTCCTGGACAGTCTGCCGCTAATGGTGCGTGCGCCACCATCCGATCATGCGAGCGCCAGAAAATCAACAAAGCCCCGAAGCAATCACCGATGGGCTGTTCATGATCAGTCAGACGAAGATTGATTTGCATGAATCTTCCGACCGAATTTGTCTACAAATGTGAGATTGGCGCAATATATCCGAACAGCAGCTCTGGAATGTCAGCTGTATATATGCTCAAGGCGAATGATTTTTGACACCGACAACGATCCGATACCGATGACTAGAAACGAGATGGACATGACTTGTTTTCCGCAGCTGAATGAAACTACTTTTGCTTTCCACTATAAGAAAATTTCCTGCGTAATGGTCGTTATGAGCATGGGCCGATTGGCTGCTTGATAGTCGTAAGCATAAGCGTGGCTAATCTTATTTCTTGCTCCTTGTGGTTTACACCAAGGCCATAATTAGTAGAGGGCGAGACTGTAAGCAACTCTACTTCTATCTCTATATAGAAGTGCTCTATATACGACATGCATGTCTATACAGGATCATAGACGAATAAACATAAACATAGTAGCTACGCCTCGAACACGGGCACCACACCCGTCCAAGTTCCCCGGCTCCGCTCCTCCCAGTAGCCATCCTTGCCGGGCTTCAGAGCCCAGACGTCCTCCGCATCCGCACCGCCCATGTCACCCTCCACTCGCTTGAACCAGCGCGGCGTCCAGCTCTCGCCCGCCGCCTCCATCTCTCGCCGCCGCGCCCGTTGCGCTTCCTCCAGCTGCACCTTGACTTGCTCCGCGCGGTCCACGTCCCCGTCCTCCAGCGCCCGCTGGTCCGGCCGCAGCCGCGAGTCCGTCACCGGCAGCTGCTTCTCCTCGATGGGGGTGATCTCGTTCAGAGTAGCCGCAAACGCGGTCAGACCGTAATGTTTGGGGGCGTTGGGCACAAGAGGCCCGGCCTTCCAGATCACCGTGCCCGCGGCGGATCCGTTCTTGGTGAGCTGCAGCGACGAGGTCCAGGTGCCCGTCAGCCCCAGTGGCAGCTCGTCGTTGTAAGAATCGACCGCCTTGGTGACGACCTCCTCGCTGCGGCCCGAAAACATGCCGCCGGCCTTGAAGGTCGACACGCTCTTCTGGCCCGTCGTCTCATTCAACACTGCCATCTCGCCGACCGGTTCGACGTACTTCTCGCCTGCGATGATGTTGCGGAGGAACGACGAAGCCGCGGACCAACTGAAATGCTCGCCGGTCGTGTGGAGAGTCAGCCGGAATTTCCCATCGGTGATAATCTCTGCGGATTTGCCCCAGAATTTCTGCGTCGGCATCGGCGATTGCGCAAGACTCCAGTCCTTGCTGTCTGCCTGATACGCTAGCTGCACAGGACGATGCGAGACCTTCTCCGCGATGAATCGAAATCCGAGGTCCTCCCGCACGAGCTCGTAGGTCTCTCCCAGCATGGGGTTGAAGGGTTTCCGGATGGCTCGCTCTCGCACGCGGTTGCTTGACAGCGGAGAGATTGCAAAGGCCGTCACGTACATGAGCCGCTCCACACTGTCCGAGGCCTTCGCGGCCTGGTCCAGCAGCGTGGAGTATTCGAGTGCCTCGGCCGCGCGTTGCAGTAGCGAGAGCGGCTCGTTGGAGGAGACAGGCATCGAAATCTGCGATAGATCTTTACCCACATTCTTGCGGAGGAAACCGATCAGGCTCGGGGGCATGACTGTGGGCGCAGTGATATTGCTGCGGCGACGTACAGGGCTCAGAGGCAGAGGCGTGAGTGATTTGGGGCGTGAAGGGAACAAGGGTGAGTCCTTCTCCCCACCATGGGGGGTAACGGGCTCCGCCACTTCTTCCTCGCTGTCTGATGGGGCGTCATCTGCGACGGCTTCGTCCTCGGCCTGCCGGGCGGTATTACCCGCTCCTTCATCATCACTGTCTCCCTTGATGGTTAGCAATGGCGACATATTGTCTCCGTCAACGGCGTCAAAGAATTCCTGCGACATCTCGGACTCCATGCTCAGCCGAGACTGTGCCGTCATTCCAGGCGGGTGCCGACGATGTTTGCTCTCGGCGATCAACGTCGAAAATTCGCTAACTACATTATCCAGATCCCGCAGGAGAGCCATCAAATGGTCATGGATCTCTTCCACATGATCCGGGTGGCTGGCAATGCTGCTGGGTTTCCGGTCGCCAGCGAGGGACGCCGCATCCGCGGCGGGCGATGGGACCGTCAGCTGCGAGCTTGAGGAAGTCGTCGTCGTCGCGCCGGAGCGCTTGGCTGTCTGATTCGAGTTTGAACTAGGTTTCCGTTTCCAGAATGGACGCCGCTCGCGCGCCTCGAAGAACTCCTCACCGTTGGGTTCCGGGTGCGGACTGGGGGAGCGACCTCGGGGACGCTCGTACGGAGACAACACCGACGAACTATTCAAGTATTTCGGATCGGTGTCTCTAGCCAGTCGCCGCACTGCATCCCGGGATCCTGATACCTTGCTGACTAGATGCTCCACCTTTGTCCACTCGCGTTCCTCCGCGGCATTGGTGAGGAAACGCTGGGAAGGCACGCGAAGCAGCACCTCGGGCGCGTGAGAGTCCTCGGCGGACGCCTTGGACGAAGCTTTTTCTAACGCACGCTTCCAGGCAATGAAGTCCTGGTCATTGCTGGCCCGCAAGTGCCA